GTCGATCAGCGGATCAGCATTCTTGTTTTGAACACCGGACTATGTATACACCGGGATATATTTTCCCTTGTTTGTTGTCTTCGGTCTTCGTCCCAAACACGTTCCTGCACGCCCATTTGCTCCTCTTTCGATTGGTCTGATTTGTTTCTTCTTCATCCCCTGAAGATCGCTGTCAAGTGGCGTGGCTACCAAGGATTTATCCTCCCCTCTCTGGCTAGAGAATCTTAAAAATGGTTCACCTAAGATAAGGGCTCTTTTCTTTAGGGCCTCTGCATGGATTACGCCCGGTCTATGGGAGGGATTCGTTGCGAAAAGTAGCAACTTGCAGAATACCAGCTGAATTCCTAAGTCAACTATCAAGATTTTCACTTAATGAATGGGATATTCGTATACTCCTGAGTAGCTGGTCTGTGGCGAGATGGGTTGTAATATTGATCGACCAATAGTTTCATAGCTTCATCGTCACTGCTGGTCAGCCCGCTGGGCCTTACCAGGTGTGACGCTCTCTCTGTAGCCTGCCGGAATGATGAAGTAAGGCGAATGGAACTCCTAGGGCTGGAAACACTCGTGACAATAACAACAGTTTATTCCCGAATTTGCGGGTGCATATCATCTTTACAGATAAGGTTATAACATATGGTAGCGAAAACCTTTGGTACTGCCTTCTACCACCTATTTTTCATCCCAGTGGGTGAAAATCCCCAGTCTGAGGGAAAGAAGGTCCTACCCAGCATACAAGAACGTGTATGTAGGTCTAATTAAGTTGCAGTCCCTATCGCTTTTCAATGTTGTTGTACGTGCTTTTCTAGTCTTTTTAAACGGCCTTTGTTCCCGCTACTATCCCTTTCGTGCTTGACTTAGTGATGTATTCTTAATCCAAGTAGTTTATGAGCAGAGCGCTCATTGTATCGGGTGACTTGCAGTACTTTGCAGCTGGAAATGGGACAGACTAGACAATGACACACATGGTTTTGTCAAGCGCGAAGCCCCAACGGGTTTTCACATCTGCCAAACGTGGTCAACGTTCTAACCTGTCTGTTCTAGAGCCTTTTTAGGAGATGGGAAGCTTGGTCTTCTCGGGTTGCAGAGACACTAGTTGAGAGGTGTCAACAAAGTTCAGCAGTACGGACGCACTGAAGGCTGCAACAACATGATCACCGCAACCCAAAGGAGTGGTAAGTAGGGCGTAATTTATCAAGGGAGGAACTGACATCTGAACAACCCCAGTGTGATGAGCACGGGTGTTTTTTGGCGCTGTAGCTTATTCCCTCCTGGTGAGTTTGTGAGCACCTTCAGACGACATGAAGTATAATGGATAAGCAACTTGTGCATGTATTTCCTCGCAAACTTTTCATCATTATCCTGAGCAAAAGCACAAACCGCTGCTATGAAAGTGTTAGCTTCAGGCTCTATTTTTTTCCCATGTAATACATGTGATATCCAGATACAAACCCTATTTATTTACCTATGCGAAGACAGTACTTCCACTTATCGAACTCGTAGATCTTTGCATATTCATTCTGCTGGTATGTTTCATCGTATAAACATGTGGTAGTTTTATCCTCCAGTAACGGAATAATAATATTCGCCTTATTCCAAGCATCGTGTATGATACAGCATGGAATATTCCAACAAATTCTCTTCCTGTACAATATTTTTAAAAGAAATAACTACGTTTGAATAGCGTTGATGATGACAGTAGTGAACGGATAAGCGTGAAACAAGCAGCTGGTGTTACATTAGATTCTGTTCTCCATTCCTAAAGTGACCACAAAATTGGATGTGATTTTGATGGCGGCAGTTCAGTCAGCCAGCAAAGAGATTCTCAATCCTGTACAGGTGTCCTTGGAATAGTAATGTGGTGTATTTTTGAGCAACCGGTGAAATGTCTTTCTTCTCTTTTTCTCCTAACTTGAGAAACGAAAGTTCAGAAACATCCCAAGAATGTGCGAAAGTACATCTTGCATTTAGAAGGTATTTAAAATATTAAAACGAACGGAAGGAGAAGAATTTGTTGAAATATAACTGGCGGAAAACCTTTGGTAGCCCAAGATTTAGGCAGTCTGCCTTAGTTGGGGATTGAGATTAGCTGCCATAAAGACATGTGATTTATATGGTAAAACATTAATATCCGTAAAAACATGGTGTGTGCCAACATATTCATGAGTAAATATCATCATAATATCAGCAAAAAGTAAGACAGGGGTTTCACCACCAGCGCGACTCCCACTGTGGACTCACCGTGAAAGGTGTCCCCTAGTCTTCTGAACCTATTCAAGGTTTTTCGTTGACAGAGATGAAAGGATGAACGAAATTGTAAGTCGATCGCGATCTTTGTAGTGCTTCAGCTTTCCGCCCGCTGTTCGTTGTGCCCCAAAGAGAAACGAAGTACCACGAAAAAGTTTACGAAAACGAAAATGGAAACATTCACACGCCGCAGTCGAAACATTTTTGATTTCCGTGTTCTGAAAAATGCGTGACAACCTGACAGCAGAATAAGGATTCCGTAATGATAGCGCGCACACTAAACAGTCTGGTGTATTTCTGAATTTTTCGAGGACCTAACAGTTCGACGTGTGCGTGATTTTTGTTGTGCACAAGACAACCGTATATCTGTTTTTCCTGGTGGGTAGCTGAGAAATTTAGCGATCGCGGCTTTTTCTGGTTGGTCACGGCGAGTCATAGGGTGATGGTCAGGCGTTGCTCGAGCTTTCAGCTGTCGCAATCACTATTCGGATGCAATCACTGCAATCTCCTTGAAATGAGATGTGCGAATGTGATGGCCAAAGAACCTTTGACGATCTGTTAGTTCTTAGTTCCAGCATTTGATTGACCCCATCTTCCGCAATTCTGAGCCTGTCCGGGGCTAGACGGCGCTTTCCGAGTGTCACAGGCAGACCTATGGTTGGGACGTGATGCTTAACATTGGTGGTTGCGCTCGGCGAAATGGGCGTCGGTTTCTCTACTCCGAAAATCTGTCTCGCATCACCGCATAGGGTTAGTCCTCTGCATTTCGATCTAACTGTCGATCAGCCCAGACCAACGTAGTTGGTTCCGCGAATCGATAACTTCGTGTTATTATCTATCAGTCGTCGGAGGAGGACATCTGCAAGTAAGCTGCAATGGTTCATCAAATCTATTCTAATTATGAGCATAGAAACACCAGTTGGAGGAAATATGAAACGTAAACTTGAGTTGAGATACGCCTACCTCTCTTTAGAGGTTGAGATCGCTTTGCCACTGGCTGATTGCGGACTGAAGGACGCCCATGATGACATTCATTTACGGTTACGGAAAGAACGCCAACTTCCGCCCCAGTGTTGGCGAGGTAGCGAGCTTTCATTTTCACATAAGGGGCGTACAACGATCGGCCTTTGACACCAGCTGTGGCTGCTGTTGACGCTCGCTGGAGGGGCAGTTGCCGGGTTTCCTGCAGTCTTTGCAGAGAATGTGCGGCTTTCGACAATTTCTGAGTTGTTAGCCACAGGTGTATGGAACCAACATCATTTAGGATTTTATACCGAGCAAGACATAGCCATCACAAAGTCTCGTCAAGCTCAGTGCGTTGTGACCTGGGGCTTCATACAAGCTGCTCACCACACTGCCGCAGTTTTGAAAGAACAGTTCAGGGAAAAGAAGACCGTGGAACCTTGGTAGACAAATGACTTCTTAAGTGTATGCGAGCATCTGAATAGTTCCCCAGCTGAATTCAGTGCAGCAACTCACCTAAGCTCTGACGATCTATGGGATAACCCTCCTTCCAGAGTGATGCTTCAAGCAGTCCACAGGGACCACTAACTTAGGGTGCAAACGTACGTGCTGTTCAAATAGCTCAAATGGTTGTTGACGGAATAGAAGAATCGCGTAACTGGCTTCCGCGTCCAGAATCCGTGGACCACTACTTCTTGTGGTTGTTAACCTGTGTAAAGGTAAAAACAGAGGAAAGGGTGATAGATAAAACGCGAAGATTCAAGTAGTTCTGGGCACATCCGAGCCACATATCAAATTAGTATCCAGCCGGCGTTTAGAGGATTCAGACGAAGGAGCCTCGGCCACATCTGAAGGAAGAGCGTTCCGGCGTTCAACAACTCTAAAGGAATAGAATTTGTGCCCGATATCTAACTTGTTGTGTTCCAGGTTTAGTTTCTGTACGTGTCCTCCAATGATTAGTGCTTCAGCTAAGAATCAGTAAGTGACAGTGTCCAGAGTTGCTCAAGGTGTTGTGAGCCATTATCATATCTCCACTCAGCCTTCTATATTCCAGGGGATACAAGTCCAGCACAGCCAGTCGTTTTTCATATGTTCTAGACCCAAGTCGTCAAACAGACTAGTTGAGCGCCTCCGGAAGAGTTCTAAGCCGAACTTGTCCTTCTGCAGAGAAGGGGGATCACGATAGTCTCGAACTCCAGATGAGGCCGTAGGAAGCTGTTGAAAACTCGGTGAAAACACATACAGTCGAATTGCCCGAAACTTCGTCCAAGGTTTTCAGAACCCAAGCTCCTGAGAAATGTGCTTGTGTAGCAGTCAGCATGTGATTTTAAACCTCTAGTGACTAAAACGCCCAAACCCTTCCCTGTCAGCGACGCTTCAAGTTCCAAACCGTGCTTCTTTAGTTCCTGCCAAGCTAAAGATGCGTTCCAACTCTTTGGCTGCAAGCAGAGTAACATAGAATGGAGGCAACAAAAATGGCATGGACGCTTGTTCCTTTGCCTCTAGCTGAGCAAGTTCGCTAGAGATATGAAGATCGGCATCAATGCTGGATTTCATTGAACCCTAGGCTTTTCTTTGAGAGAAATCATCGGCCACTAAGAACATTTATTTTAGCTATCCCAAGATAATGCCAGTTAAAATTCAAGATTATTTTTCCAGTTGCTTGTGCAATTGAACTTCTTAATTCGGATCAATAAGATGATGGCGAAGGTAATTGGTGGTAGTTATCTGCCAGCGCGTTTTTCTGCTGCGAACGTCGATCGGTGGTTTGTTACCAGCCTAGGCTTGTAATGTCTGAGAGCATAAAAGTCATTTGCCGTGTGAGGCCTCTAAATGATTTAGAGAAAGCAAATGATAGCAAGTTCGTGGTATCCTTCCCTGGTGATGGCAAGACGACAATATCACTCGGCGTATGTCACAGTCTCACCTTTTCATGTTTCCTTTTAGGGTAAAAACTATAACTTTGACCATGTGGTGCAACCGAAAGCAAGTCAGTTGGAGGTCTATGAGATAGTGGCAAAGCCAATTGTTGCAGATGTGCTGAACGGATATAACGGGACGATATTTGCTTATGGTCAGACGTCAAGCGGGAAAACATTCACCATGGAGGTATAATGTTTGGTTTTCTGATGTTTTGCTCAGGGAATCTTGGGTGATCCAGTCTTCCAGGGTGTTATCCCTCGCATAATACATGATATATTTAACCATATCTACCAAATGGATGAGAACCTCGAGTTTCACATCAAAGTAATTTTCAAGAAATTCCTTTTTCTGTATTATCAGTACATTTTTTGATGAACATTTTACTGCCCGTAATCACACCAATAGTTCCGATTTTCTGATAATTATACACTTACCAATAGGTGTCATGTGTGTAATCTTTCCTTATTGTGCATTATTTTATTTGTTCAGACATTGTGTGAACTTTTCACTAAAAACTTTACTCACACATTAAACCATTTCACCGTGCACCAAATTTTCATTAATATCTATTTCTTTCTATTCTCAGGTTTCATACTTCGAAATATATATGGATAAAATTCGAGATCTGCTCGATGGTAAGTCTGCTGCCTAGTGTATATTTCAATCTAGTTTCAAAGACAAACTTGCCTGTTCATGAAGATAAGGATAGAGTTCCCTATGTCAAGGTAAGATACACGGCTTTTCTTAAGTGGAAATATTAAGGGCGCTACAGAACGATTTGTTTCCAGTCCGGAGGAGGTTTTTGATGTTATCGATGAAGGAAAGGCTAATCGCCATGTTGCTGTAACTAGTAAGCTACACCTTTTTCACGTGGATGTATTTTACTAAGAAAGTCATCAATAATGTCTAGCTAGCAGAAACCAGTACCTATTTCTTCATGCATATTGGATACCAAAATGTCTGGTGCTTGTAATCATTGCCATAAGTGGTCTTTAATGGTGCTAAATATGTATGTGACTTTCCAGCGCGCTTTTTTTGACACTTAGATTACTACGATTTAAATAGACTTGCCTTATTCCCATACTTCTACTCTATCCCATTGTTGTTGATTCAAGGTAATCCATTTATACTGATATGGGTGACGTGATGTTGGCCCAAAGTCATTTAGTACACCCCTGGGTTGTGATTTTTGTTGGCATTAGTATCCATCAAAAAATTGTTGACATCGCAGACTAGTATAAAGAACAAAGCTACCACCTTAAGCAATATGTAAAATGAGGAATGAGATAAGGTAGGCTGATGATAAGTGTGACGTGTGCATCTGTTTGGCGCACACTACTGATTTGTATGCCTTCAAGTTTACACCTGCTTGTCCCCTGATCAGTCTTTACTATTTCTATCATGGTTTCCTGTCCATACATCATCCTGAAGTGCAACTGATGCATTATTTTTGGAGATTTTACACCTATCAATTACCTATCTAACTTCACTGCTTTCGGAAAATAGAGGACTTGATATTACCTGTTGCAAATTTTACTGACCTGGAATAACTTCAATATGAGTAAAAGTTCAACTTTTCTGGTGGTTGTAGTATAGTATACTTGTTTCTACATGTGAAGTCGGTATGGATGGTATCAAACTATCCTGCATTTCATTTTGCGTTCATTGAAATATTGGTTAGGAGTGTAGGGAGTTTATATGTGTTATTTTTATTGACCTAACAGGTCTGACTTCTTGAAATATACATCGGGCTTTTCCGAACGGTTCGTAATGACTCAATTATTAATGCGTTATCGCTTATCAATCGTTGAAATGCTACAATCGAATGTTCATTTGCTGTGAGAACGAAATTGAGTTTAAAGAAGGTCATATATGTGTGGAGTAGAAAAACGAACAAACAACACAACAGCCAGAGTGAATGTCATGAAATTTTGTGCAAAATTGCATCGTTCAGAGCTGCCAGTATTGGCAATATGAGAGCGAGAGAAAACAAATAGAAACACAAAGACGTTGAAGCAAATACAAATCACGGCTTATTGACTACCAAGAAAGCTATTGTATCCATACTAGGAGTTCGTAGGCAGCTAATTCACTAACGTTAATACGACCCCAGACAAATGAAGTAACCATCACACTCTATTCTTAAATAAGGATAATTGCAAAAGGAATTCCCATCACTTTCGAGTTTCCGTCTGAGCTTTCAAAGGAGCCTGGGTCATTGAATACGCACAAATTGACCTGTAATTTTTAAAAAGCTGTAACTTCATGTTGGGTGTAACCAAAATAGTTTAGACATTCACATGTTGACTATTAACTTGAGGTTTATATCCATCTGGACAAAGGTGATAATGCAGATTTAATATAAAAATGTTATACACAGCACATGATCATGTACGTAGTTATTGAGTTGTGCAGCGAAGGTAGGTTCACCAGGAGCCAAACTTTTCATTGAGGTTACTTTTTATGCATTCTTATGATTTCTTGTCGCTGTGCAGATATGAATGAGCATAGTTCTCGGAGTCACTCAGTATTTATGATCACCGTTCGACAAGAAAATCTTGAAACTCAAAAGAAATTGCATGGAAAACTCTATCTCGTTGATTTGGCTGGTAGTGAAAAAGTTGCTAAGACTGGCGCCGAAGGTACTGTTTTGGACGAAGCCAAAAATATCAACAAGTCATTATCTGCTCTTGGTAATGTCATAAATGCACTTGTGGAAGGAAGTGTAAGTTCTTATTTTTTCTGATTACATTTGATTTTTATTTCCTTTCACATGGTTTTGGCATTGAGTTTCTTAAATTTTCGTCCAGCCAACTTTTTGTTAGTTTAATGTTAGGTTAGTGATTTTTGGGTGGAAATGGGAAAGTATTCATAATTTCACTGTCTCTCTTTGTATGTGTATATTGGACAAACGTAAGCATAGCTACTTTAAGCTTTACCGCTTAAAGTCTACAGCCAGTGATGCTTAAAATCTTAAGGCTTTTATGTATATGTGCATGCATATTTCTATCAGCACGCTGTTTTTGATCTCTTGTACAGGCTTGTTCTCATGTATCCTGTGTTAAATTCCCAATGGTGATAAAGTGAACAAGAAAAATGATGTGCAAGATACCTAAGAGGTAGATTATCTAAATTAACGATGTTTGTTGACTAAGGTTGGAATTGGAGCTCGCTTTGCCGAAAGCGGGAGCTTTTTTCTAATCTCTAACTTTTCCAATTCTATGGCCAATTCTTAAAGTTCAGTCCGAAGTTAACCTCCAATTATGCCGAATGTAGCAAGTGGGACTCAGTTGATTTCGTGAACTACCTCAGTTTCAAAGTTATTTATACTAAGATAGGAAATACGGAATAAGATATGGTTACTCCCGTGCATTATCAAAGTTGTGATGGTCTGTTTAAAATGAACATGGAGACACACCAACTCCAGTTCGATCTTAAGTAGGTGAAATCATTCGAGTGTTCAAGCTTTGAATATTTGAAATTAAGATCTTCGAAGGAGAACCAACTTGCAATACCACGTTGAACCACTGCTAGATCTAAAATGGTGACTGATAAATCCTTACCAAATCAACAGACAAAAGCTTAAAAACCTGGAGAAAAACATTGAGGTTTATTCCAAGCGTGACTTTATCTCGTCAGGTTATCACCATTAGTAACGTAATAGTACTTCAAATATGACGCTTCCTTATGGGAAGATCTTCAAGCCTCTAGATACTATTCAAGCGATTTAACAAAAACTACCAACCACCGAAACTACTCCACTAGCAAGCGAAATAGCCGAACTGTGATTTAGTGTCTATGGCCTTATGGAATTCAACACCTTTTGTTAACAACACAGTCTTCAGTAGCCTCTCTAGTCTCACTAGTACAGTAATGGGTCAAGTACGATATGTCTGTCATCGGTAAAGTTCACCCCTACGTCTACCTTAAGTGCGGTCATAATATTCTTGGTGTGCCGTCATACATGGCTGTTTCTAGCTATGAAAACCTTTGCAAAACGCAAAATTAGACTCTGCGACTTGAAGCAAGTCTTACACATCAGAGTTCTGCCTGATAAGTGAATATATATAGTTCTGGAAAGCCTTACTATTAAATATATAGTGTATATCAGACTTGGATACAAGGTTCCAAGGTTCCGAATAATCTCCCCATCTTTTAGCTCAAAAAGTGTATTTACGGTGCGCTTATCGTAGAATCCTATGGCATCAGCAGCCGACCCTTTTGGGGTTGGTGTCGCACCAAGTGCTAGAGTCGAACCTGCAATTGTCGATTGGATCTTGACCAGCAGCCGTCTGTGGTGCTAGGCTAAAACGTTTGATTGGAGTGAGAAGTGATTAGCAAGAGAAACGATGTCTTTTCATCCTCTCTGCTTATGTCCCCAACTGTCTGCAGCTCGGTTGCAATTAAGGATGAGTTCCACCGTTGACTGAGTGTTCTGTACCCAGTACGCTTGATTCGAATGCATATATCGGAGATTTAGGCTTAGAAGAGGGTCGTTTAGATAACCGATGGGGTTTAGTCAGTCGCGGGTCAGACAGTGAAACATCTACACGTTTGTGCCGATCACAACGTGTCTCTTCCTGACAGCAACTTCTGAAACAACCATTGTCTTTGTGCTCCCTCTGTCACCCAGATGAATCATATTGGAATCGGTTAATAGTACAGTGGGTGCATTCAGGACTGTCCATCCTTTTGGAACGTCTGTCTTCACTTTGGTCTCCAGGAAACGGTATAGTAAAGACGTTCGATGGTTGACTGCAAGATGAGAACGTCAAGTTCGCATTCAGGGAAGAGACAGCTAAGCGTTAATCTGAACATGACAGTAGTGCTCATCCTAGGGAGACCCGGCATGATATTGTCTGCTGTAGAAACAGAAACCTACACATGACGGTTAGCAAACGTCATTGGATTTTCGCGACATCGTCTGGACTGATTGATGCAAGAAGACTGATTCCAAGTGGCTCTGACCACCATGAAGAGCGAAAGCAACTTAGACGTAAGTTGAACAAGAGTCTTCGCATCGATCGTGAAGAGTGGTGGGTTGCGAAAGCGAGAGAGAGATGGAGAAGGCATCGGCGGTGGGTAAAACCTAGTAACTATGTAGGCTTATTAGGGAGACCGGGACGAAGAAAACGATGGTAAGTGAAATCGTGACTGAAAAGAATAGGACACTGATGCCTCTCAGGACAGACGGCTAGAACTGTAGGCGTGACACTGAAGCACAGTTCAACTGGGCTTCAGCAACACTTGAGTTGTTCAACATCCAGCCCAGAGGTGAATGAGATGTAGATGTTGGTCGTTCGACTCTTCTCGAAGCTGAGAAAGGTGTATGTAATGTGGAAGGATGGAAAGCAGCAGGAAGTGGGGATTAGCCACCTGAAGTTTTCAAGGATGAAGGTTGGAAATTGCTGCTTAAAGTGACGGAGGTACTCGGTAATGCATGGGAGTCAGAAGTATTCATGTCAAAGTCGTCTGTTTCACTCATTATTCCAGTTTATAATAAAGAAGAGTAACCTTCATGTTACAAGCAGAGGGGAATCAGTGTGATTAATATCATGTTAAATATCTTAGGGTCCATAGTTATCCGACGCCTTACAGCACTAATTCGAAAAATCGAGAGGGGTGTAAGACTTGTGAGAGGGTATCTCGTACAGATTTCTCCCTTGTGACAGGTTCTGGAACACAGGCATACCTACCAGCCAACCTTCATCGACTGAGATGGTTGGGACACGTGCTACGTATGCCTAGTCACCGATTGCCTCGTCACACAATGTTGGCTGAGGTAGGTTCAGGCTGGAAAAAGGCCCGAGGTGGCCAGATTAAAACATGGCACCAATGTATGAAGTCTCTGACTGTTGGTTTAAGCCATGTAGGACGATGCAGACTAGGTGGTTGGGGTCCACGGGACAAGAGGAACCAGTGGTTGGAGACCCTAGGTGATATGGCTCAGAACCGAAGTCAGTGGCGCAGATGTATACACACATTATCCTCATCTTAACAGCGCTATACCGAATCTCACTATTTTGTCACTCCTCTTTCCTTTCTTCTCATACTTTATATTTCTTTTGACTGCATTCACTTATCTTCATCCTTCACCTCACTACCTTTTTACTTGATGAACTGACGTGAGGTGTGGCAACTCGGACCGTTACGCAGTAATGCCTGGTCCTATGTTGATAATGATGATGATGACCAGCCAACGACCGACACTTGCCATATTTCTTAACCTAAAGACGCCATCTGACTCTCTATGGTGATGTATTACGGCAGTGTCTAATTGTGAACAGAGTATTGAGCAAGTATATAATGATAATCAAGGCTCTCTACTCCAACTCACAGCCGTGTAAGGGCTTATGGAAAGTTGTCATCTGAACCAACGACGATTAGTTAGTGCTGTTCACCTGAGATGCCCACTGTGCTCATTCCTGTTCATCTTCATCATAATTGTACTAATAGATATAACCTGAGATACGTCCGACTTCACAGATATTGGTTGGTCTACTCCCTGGAGTTCATCTAGTTGACTTGGGGTATGCAGGCGATATTGCGCTGCTAGGTGAAGACTCTGATAGAATGCAGGGTCTTCTGGACGCGTTGTACAGAAATCTGAGTATATTTGGCATGCACTTCACACCTGTCAAGTGTAAGATGATGCTTCAGAATTGGTCTGCTGCAGGTACTTCGATTTCAATGATAAGGAGTGAAGTGGTGGAATATGTTGACTACTTCCTTTACTTGAGGAGTTGCATCAGCTCGAAGAGTGTGGGGTTGTTGACGAAATGTCAAGTTGGATACAGAAGACTCGTTTGAGACTTGCCAACTTGGATGACTTGTGACGCCGACTGTTGAGATATTCGCCTGTCTATTAAAGGACGAGAATACTACACTGCAGTCTGTTACATCCTGTTGTACGGGTGTGAAACATGGTCGTTAGAAGTAGACGACACGAAGTGATTACTAGGTTTTGATCACAGATGTCTTCGTAGCATTGCTTGTGTTTGGTGAGACCACCGTTTACGCTATATTAAGGAGGTCAGGTGAAGAGTATTACGCATGATTGGGAAGTTGATTGATGAGGTTGTGAATCGTAGTCGACTGAGATGGCTTGAACATGTACTGCGTATAACGAGCCACACCTACCTCAACGTGCCATGCTGAAGAAAGTTGGATTAGGTTGGAAGAGGGTTGAGGGCGACCAGTCGATGATCATCATCATCATCATTATCAACATAGGACCAGGCATTACTGCGTAACGGTCCGAGTTGCCACACCTCACGTCAGCACATCAAGTAAAAAGGTAGTGAGGTGAAGGATGAAGATAAGTGAATGCAGTCAAAAGAAATATAAAGTATGAGAAGAAAGGAAAGAGGAGTGACAAAATAGTGAGATTCGGTATAGCGTTGTTAAGATGAGGATAATGTGTGTATACATCTGCGCCACTGACTTCGGTTCTGAGCCATATCACCTAGGGTCTCCAACCACTGGTTCCTCTTGTCCCGCGGACCCCAACCACCTAGTCTGCATCGTCCTACATGGCTTAAACCAACAGTCAGAGACTTCATACATTGGTGCCATGTTTTAGTCTGGCCACCTCGGGCCTTTTTCCAGCCTGGACCCACCTCAGCCAACATTGTGTGACGAGGCAATCGGTGACTAGGCATACGTAGTACGTGTCCCAACCATCTCAGTCGATGAAGGTTCACAACCTCGTCGACTGACTTACCT